TGGATGGATGGATGGATGGATGGATGGATGGATGGATGGATGGATGGCCCCACGCCGCCCAGGCAAAATGAAGCTGTTTTGACCATTAAACAAATGCATAATAAACGCGACAAGTCAGCAGTGATGCATAATAAATGCAACTTATGCACCGAATCAACTTATATATGTTTATTTCCTCTTCGTGATGCTTTCTTAGACTGATGAGACTTATACTCTGGAGCGACTTATACGCCTGGGAATACGGTATTCTGATCTTCTGCACATTGTTGTCTGTGACCTGTGTGTTTCCTTTGTCTTCTTGATGTTTATTGCTTTGTGGTAGGCAATGTTGCACCATTTTTTGACAGTGACCTGCAGCGTTTTTGTCTATAAATTAGATGAAAATAATTTAAATCACCAGTGGTAAGGCAGTAAAACAGACTATATACCAAGGGGTTGAACAGTTTTCACCTCTGCTGTACCTGGGCTTTGACTGCTTGACTTTTGTTCTCACCTTTACCTCATATTTGTCTGTTCATCGACTTCTGTTTGTGTTTCCAGCTGAGCAATAGATATTAGTTTCCTCCACATGGATGCCAGAGACACCCAGAGTTTGTGTAATAAGAGCAGCAGTCAGACCCTCAGTTTGGTTCAGTAGATTTATCATCACCCACGATGGGAAACGCTACAGATCAGTGGGCTGAGGTGGAGGCTAGATTGAATTTCCTCTGGTCTACTCTCATGTCTGACTGTACATTGTGTGAGCGTGGTCTGTGTGTTCCTAATTAAGCCGCTGCTCATGGTTTTTCCAGCTTTCACTTGAATGTCCTGTAGAGACATAAGGTGATGTCTTGTACTTGGACCGTTGGCTTGAATGAAAAGGTGCTGGCAGCCTTCAGCATCATCACTCCCAGAGAAATCAGCTGAGCTCGCGTGTCACATTTACCTGGCCGAAGGCCGGCGCAGATGGTCTGTTACAGCGGGTGAGAACATGAGGGGGCATGACATGTCACTAAAAATACTCTCTTTGAAGGAGCAGCGTGCATGTAGATGTTGTGCGTCAACGTCAGAGCATAATATTCATTGTTTCAGGCAGAATTTGTCTCTGCTGCACATTGGCAGAGTGTTAGGTAAAGAAAAATTATCCAAGTATAATAATATGTTCTAATTGAAGTTCAGTATTTTTTCACTTTCATACAGTGAGATTCTACTGACAACTCAGGACTTCAAGTGACTTTAGCAAAACATACAACACGATTATGTAAATAATGGAAGCACACTGATCTCCCTTTAATAATAAAAGAGGAAGTATATAGATATACATTAGTTGTGACGTTGTATTAAGGTGATAGTTCAAAACATTTAAAGTGGATTTTTATGGAGCGCTAACGAACATCTACCTGTTGTAGATAGCAGGAAACGTTGAAAAACTAGAGTTTACTTCTGACAGGATTATTGAGGGCCAAGCTCAAAGCAGATTGCTGCAACTGAAACAACTTAATCCTCAAAATATGTCATGGCGGTTTAAGAAAACGCTGTTTAAAAAAAACCCTTTACTTTCAATTTCACATGATTATTCACATAAAATAATTTGGTTATTTGCAAGAGAAGTTAGCGGCAGCAACAGTTGCACATCTGCTGCAGTAAAGGGCCCATCCATCCATCCATCCATCCATCCATCCATCCATCCATCCATCCATCCATCCATTATCTTTTACCGGCTTCTTCCATTCTGGGTTGCAGGCGTCACCGGTGCCCATGTCCAGCAATCACTGTGTGAGGGGCGGGGTACACCCTGGACAGGTCGCAAGTCCATCACAGGGACACATAGAGACAAACGAGACAAACAACCATTCACTCTCTCACTCACACTTAGGGACAATTTAGAGTTACCAATCAGTCTAACATGCATGTTTTTGGTTTGTGGGAGGAAACTGAAGCACCCGGAGAAAACCCACGCATGCACGGAGAGAACATGCAAACTCCACCCAGAAAGGCCCCTGGACCGGGATTTGAACCGGGGACCTGCTCGCTGAGAGGCAGCAGCTCAACCAGTTGTGCCAGCATGCTGCCCAGTAAAGGGCCCTTTCAGCATAGTTTAAACTACTTCTGACTGAATAACCATGTATTGCATCAGCAATGTCAAGGTTTATAAAATGGCATTTGCATGAAATCCTACAAAATACTTGAGATTGTGCTCATAGTCCTGCTTGGTCTAGACCAGGGGTCTTTAACCTTTGCAATAAAAACAGACATTTTTGCCACTTTTCTTACTAATTATGATGTCTGCAGCCGCAAAACCTGCTACAGCTGTGTCCTGTCAACTGGTGGTCCATGGACCACTACCACTTTATTGTAGATGGCTTTTCCAGCAAGTGGAAGTGATATTATATAAAAAAAAAAAGTCTAACTATTATTAACATGTATTGATATTTTTACATTTTATTACAAAAATACCAAATTTATGTAAAGAAAGAAAAAATATATAATTTTGAACAATTTTATAAAAGTTAAAACACTGAACTCTGCAGGCCGATGTGAACTCTTATTTGTTGAAGAATTGTTTCCTACTTAAAGCATAAAGTTAAAGACGATATAAAATTAGGCCAGTTTGTTGGATATCCAGTTACATTTTAAAGAAAAATAAATACTTTTGTTTACTTTGACTTTGTTTTTTCATTTTATTCTTAGTGTTATCAAAGATACTTATCATATTCCTTCTCAGCAGCTTGTCTTAAAGATATTCTAAAACATTCTGGTGGTTTTCAGAGAAAAATCTCGCTGTGAGACTGGAAGTTGACTAAAAGTGTCTAACAAACTACTAGCATGATGTAGCCCACATGTTTAACGCCTTGTATTTGTACTATCCTTCATATATTTGAAAATGACAGGAAATCTACTAAAACAAAGCATTTTCATTGTTGGCAATAATTTAAATAAAATTCAGTTTTAGTTTTGGTCAAAGCCTGAAGGAGCCGCTGCAGAGGGACCAAAGAGCCACATGTGGCCCCAGAGCCGCAGGTTGCAGACCCCTGGTCTATCCATTAGATTGGCAGCCTGGTCACAATTAAGCTCCATTTCTCCAAACTGCTATTGTTCAGAGTTATCTACAATAACTTAGTCATATTTTACTTCATAATTCTACAAAGCGTTTAGAGACTGACAGCTGCTGGAAGATTTCTTGTCGAAACATGTAGTTAATAATTAACTCTTTTGTGTGTTTGGACAGTTTTACAAAAGAGGTCTCTCCATTAAGAGTACAAGCACTGACATTTTTTTTTTTTTTCATTTTTAACACTTCTGATGTCAATAAAACATATTCAACACATGTTTGTTCAAACACACATGAATAGACACTGCCTTCACATGCTTGGACACATTGTGACTCCAAACAAGACATGTATCTGACGTGTTATAAAACATGTGGAATGTGGCAACACTGACTTTTCCTCCAGTGCATCTAACATCATCAACAAGCTCGCTTTCTACAAACTGACAACATGCTTATCATTTTAAGCAGCACTTTAGTTTCATTTGCTAAAACTCTGACTTCTACAATATTATTTATTCATAATCTTTTTACATACTTCAAAAGTCTGAACTCGCTTTAACCCGATAAGCATCAAAGGAAGACTTAATGTGAGTCTTGTAAAGTCTTCATGTTGACAAGTTGATCTGACGTTAAAATACAGCTCTGCAAGTGTAGGTTTGATTCAAACGTTTTGATAATTGTGGCACACAGATCCTGGGAGGCTGCATGATCCCATCATTCTAGAATAAATACAAACACTGACGGATGAAAGTGAAAAGATGAGTATGTGTCACGTCAGTAGCCAGTGACTAGCCAATTTGGCGCCCTAGGCAAGATTTTTGGTGGCTCTGCTACACAATCTTCTAAAATTCACTGCCAGCTTATATCCACTCACTCTTCTTCTTCTTCTTCTTCTTCTTCTTTCAGCTGTTCCCTCTTCAGGTGTCTCCACAGCGAGTCATCCTCCTCCATCTCTGTCCTCACTCCAACTACCTCCATGTCCTCTCTAACTGCATCCATATATCTCCTCTTTGTTTTTTTCCTGGCAGTTGCATTTCTAACATCCTTCTACCAGTATACCCACTGTCCCTCCTCTGGACATGTCCAAACCACTGTCCCTCCTCTGGACATGTCCAAACCATCTCAGTCTGGTCTCTCTAACTTTATCTCCCAGTTGTTCAACCTGTGTTGTACCTCTGATGATCTCATTCCTAATCTTATCCAGCCTTGTCACTCCTAAGGAGAACCTCAACATCTTCATTTCTGCCACTTCCAGTTCTTTCTCGTGTCTTTTTGTCCATGTCTCTGTCTCCAGACCAGACAACAAAGCTGGTCTCACCACTGTCTTGTAAACTTTTCCTTTGACCTTTGCTGACACCCTTTTGTTGCAAATCACTCCTGAAACTTTTCTCCATCCACTCCATCCTGCCTGAACTCTCTACATCTACTCACATAAGAAACCAAATAGCTTTGTATTTGTTATTCTCTTTTATTAAAAAAAAGAGAGAGATTATCCAGATAAAACCGTTAACAACACTTTAATGAATTCGAAGCAGATCATCAAATCCTACACCATATGCACCAACATTTGTTGATGGGAAAATGGGGCAAGATAAGCAAAGTCCTATTGAGATTATTAGATGTAGTATTTAATATGTCTTGCTATGCTGCTAAATGCTGCTAGTGTGTGCTTTTTCCTATTAGTAAATAACAATACCCATTAGTTTTAAAAAGAAAAGTGAAAGTTACACTTCTTTCCTTCCCCCATTTGCGGCGCCTCCTGGATGGACGACGCCTTTTGCAGTTGCGGTCACTGTCTATGCTGAAAATGCACGTCTTTGTTTTTCTGCTGTTTTCAGTGCTCTTTAGCTGTTGTGTGTGTGTGTGTGCTGCAGGTTTTGTGCAGTAACAGTGTGCTGGACTCGTCCGAGTACTGGCAGAGGAATGAGAAGGCTTTGTGCAGATTGGGCCTGCTGGACGACGATGCAGAGGGCAGCTGCACCATGGTGAGTAGCATACTGCAAGTGAAGAAACACACACATCGTTGTGGCAGCCGCGCTGGGCCGAGTCATTTCCACTCGTCTTTAAGCTGCAGGAGGTATGTTTGTGGCCCCGAACAACAGCAAGTAAACAGTTTGAAGTTTCAGGAGACAAATGATACATAATGACATTTAAAAAGCCTCGGCTCTCTGCTTCTGCCGAGTGGATTGTCGGTAGATGGAGGAAAAGTAGTTCTTACAGCAGGTTGTTGGTGTTACTTTTATCTGAAAGCTTCGGCTCATGAGGTTTGTGTTTTTCAGAGTTGTATGAGGCCAGCACAACGGCTGCAGATGCATAACTAACCTATGGATGGCTTGGCTTTAATTTACTCTTTGTATTAATTTTTTTTTTTTTTTTTTTACGTCTATTCATTTTGGTGGGATATGATTATTTTCAGTTTTGCAGCAGAAGCAAAACAGCAGACTTCTGAGAAGCGCCAGTACACTGACGTCACCTTAAGGTGCACATACAGGTGCACATACAGGTGCACATACAGGTGCACATAGAGGTGCACATACAGGTGCACTTTTGTTTCACTTTTCACACAAAGAGGGAAGTGAACTCAACCTGCTAAGTTGACTGTAGCTTGTGAACTGCTCCAGGGCTCGTTGAATATTTGAGGAATAAAAACATGGTGAATAAGTGTTTCCTTGTGCAATAAAAATCGATCATCGCTGTTATTTGATGTTGTTAACTGATGCCAGAACTGACTTGTGCTTTATATTTTCCATCATGAAGAGGTTCCAACGTTGTTGCCAGCTCTGTGCTTGAGATTTAATTTGGCTGTAAATACAAGTCTTAATATATTTATCTCTGCTATAAGACAGATTATGTTGTAGAAGTACCTGAGCACCGTTCTGCTTTCGGGATTAAAAATGACATTTGTTCAGATATTTCAACAAACCTTCACGGTAAATTCAAGTTAAATGCAAACAGAACAAGAGCTTAGTTGTTTACCTGTTTTTGTAACGACCCAATTTTTTTCTTGCATATATTTAGATACATGGGCCTCGTACTGTACCTTTTAAAATGGATCAATATTACTTAATTTGAATATTTTCATTGTTTTGTCCCCAACGATGTTATGATGTAATTATCAAGAGGCTCCAAGATGCAAACTCAAAAACTCAGGAAACTTTATTTGAAGAACAATTTGTAACCTCAACATTTTACACACCGACGACAAGGTGGTAAGCACATTATATTTAAATAAATAAGGTACACACAAAGAACAGGTGGCATAACGGTAAACACCAGAGAGCACAGGGCTGGACAATGCTGGCAAACCCAATGAGAGTTGGGTGTAATGGGGGGGGGGGGGGGGGGGGTTACTGTGATTACTACCATACCATACCAATTTATTTATTTATATAGCACTTAAAACAGCAACAAGGCCAACCAAAGTGCTGAGTGATTACTGAGTGATAGCAGCTGGGCTCTAAACTAAACTGAGTAGTCAACTGATTTTTCATTATAAATTAAACCTTGGTATAAAACTAACTAAAAAAAAACAAAGTAACTGACCGAGTAAAACTGTCCAGCATGTTTATATTTACAACATTGCCATAAATTCTCCTTGTTCTCTTCAGTAAAGCAAACATGCTTTAAAGTACAGGTTAGACCATCGCTTCGTTAACGCTCAGGACTATTTTATTTTCAGTGTCTGAAAATGGATTATTTTGAGTTTTTATTTACCATCAGTTTAATGCGTTTTTAAATGATGTTTGCACAAGACAGTATGATTTAAAATTCATTTATAAAGTGTTATCAACTCATTTATGTGGTCTCTCTTTAACTCTGTATATGTAATTGTGTTTTTTTTTTATTCTGATTTGTCTTCTGAAGCTTCATACAAGCCTTTTGCATTTTAAAATGTTCAGACTTGAAATAAACAAAATATGCTTTTAGCTTTGAAGGACACGCTCCATAGCTGTCGCCCAGCCCCCCTTGTGTCCTCTGCAATCATGGATGGTAAAAATCAAAGTTGAGTTTTAAACAAAACTCTGAGTTTACATCTCTCACTGACTGGAAATTCAATTATTTCAGTGTTTTATATACATAAGCAAACTGAGCATCATTTTCTTCTGAATCAAATTCAGAAGCTCATAATTTTTATTCTGGCCAATTTTGATAGGTTTGGTTTTTTTCATGGCAGCTGCTTTATATAAAAAAAATAACATTACCATTTAGTCCTGATGCATTCTCAATAATCCAGATAGATAAATCTAACAAGGTTGAGTCAGGTCCTCTGGACGGATCCTTCTTGTTGAAACGTTTCATCAAAGAAGAATCCATCCAGAGGACCTGACTCAACCTTGTTAGATTTATCAATTAGGCTTAGCTGTAATGATAATCTAATTATAAGTTTGGTAAAATGCAAAAATTACACCTTTAATATCAGCTGGGACCCATTAGACCATTTCAACCTATTTGTAGAAACAGTACATTTTATCCAACAAAGTTAAATAATGTCCTCTGGATGGTTTTTTTGTTTTTGTTTGTTTGTGTTGTTTTTTGTTGAAAAGTTTCATCTTTCATCCAAAAGACTTCTTCAGTCTGAGTCGGCGGGGGAAAGGGCAGACTTCAGAAACGATCTTAACCCCATCAAACTGGTTGACCCACTACAGTATATGAAGCTGCTATTTATGAGACTAAGTTTGTTGTGGCTCCTCGGACTGATGAAGTCCTTTGGATGAAAAACGAAACTTTTCAACAAAAATAATCCAGCCAGAAAACCTGACTTAACTTTATTGGATTTTTCTACCTGGATTATTGAGCATGAATAAATATATTTTATCCTCTTAGAAGCAGATGTCCGCTTGTCCTGAGTCTGGTTCTGCTAAAGGTTTCTTCCTCATGAGGGAGTTTTTCCTTTCCACTGTCGCCTTCATGCTTGCTCAACATGAGAGTTCTGCAATGGAGTTAAACTCAAAGCAGTCTGCTCCTCAGATAAATAACGTTAAATTATTATTTTTATATATGAATGTTTCTGTTCAGGGTCCTGAGACGACTTTTGTTGTGACTTGGCACTATATAAATAAAATGAACTGAATTGAACTGAAGCATTTATAAAGTTATACAGGTTAGGAGCTACAAACAATTCTTATTTATTTATTTTGTTATTTCATTAGTTAGTTAGTTAGTTAGTTAGTTAGTGTCCTAATTGATTGGTTGCATTATAGCTGACCAAATAAAAGACTCGCATTCCTTGAAGAAATACTTATAGTTGACCACCTTTTATGCCAGACAGTTAAACTTAAGAGCATCTTGTGTTGACAAATGACTGAGTTAGTCATTTTGGTCAAATACTGAAAATCATATTTTGCCCTCACACAATATTGTGAGATTTCACACGATCTGTTAGCTGGTGTGTGTGGTAAGAATGACACTCAGGTCATAACTGGTACATTTGAAATAAGTAATAACATTATTGTGTTGGGTATTTTAAAATGGATTGACTTCAGAAGTTAATCAAAATTAGTACTTTGTGAGAGCGTTATATTAACCCATTCTCAATGTGTTTCACTAATGGACAGACGAAGTTGATGCCAACGGATAATTGGAACATTTTAGATAAATGTATTGTGCAATCAGTAGCCCTTGATATGAATTAGTAATAACTACTAAAACACCCTTACTGCTTATTTGTCATAGGTGTGGAGGAATAATGAAAGAGGAAGGAAATGTTGGTTTTTCAGTCCCAGTGTGAAGCTAAATCAACACACACACACACACACACACACACACACACACACAGTACTCTGTGCAAATGCAATGTAAATGCCAAGTATTGATCAGTTTTGATGAAATTTGCTGAAGAGGCTGAAACTGAGTTGTTAAAAGTAGAAATGAAACAAACACTAGTTAAAAGTATCGAAAGAGTAGCTGAAGGGAGCTAAAAACTTACAAAAGCACAAGAAGACAAAAGTGAAGCAGAATTTAAAATTCATCCATCTATCCATCCATCCATCCATTATTTTTACCCACTGCTACCTTTTCTAGTCACGGGGATCATTGGTGCCCATATCCATCAGTCACTGTGTGAGAGGCTGTGGACACCCTGGACAGGTCTCCAGTCCATCACAGGGACACATAGAGACAAACGAGACAAACAATCATTCACGCTCACTCACACCTAGAGTTACCAGTCAGACTAACATGCATGTTTATGGCCTGTGGGAGGAAACTGGAGTACCCGGAGAAAACCCACGCAAGCACGGAGAGAACATGCAAACTCCACCCAGAAAAGTAACCGGCCGGGATTTGAACTGGCGACCTTCTCGCTGAAAGGCAACAGCTCTACCAACTGTGCCACCGTACCACAAAATACAATAATAATAATAATAAAGATTTTTAGTTTGGGAAATATTAGTAGAATTTAAAATTCAATTAAACTCAGTTCAGGTCAGTTTATTTATTTAGCGCCAAGTCACAACAGAAGTCGTCTCAGGACCCTGAACAGAAACATTCATGTACAGTAAAAAAGTCAATCACCGTAGTAAAAGTTATCTATCTAAGGATGTCAGCAGATTGTGTGAATCTTCACTTTGTTGCAGTCTCCCACCCTGAGCAAGCACAAAGGCAACAGTGGAAAGGAAAAACTCATTTTTAACAGAAGAAACCTCCAGCAGGACCAGGCTCAGGATCAGCAGCCGTCTGCTTCAACCAGCTGGGGTTTGAGAGGAACAGGAAGGAGGAACAGACAAACACAGAACGACACGTCCAGGTGCACTTTCTATTGGAAGAAGGACAAAATGAAACGAACAATGTTTCTGAAACAACTGAAATGGTCTCAATGTATTTTTTTTACAGGGAGATTGTTTGTAAATGAAGTTAAGTTAATTGAAAACCAAAAAAGGTACAAAAAAAACAAAAACAATGTTATCTCTTGAATGAGTTGAGAGTTTTCATTTATGATTGTTTAAATTACTACTAGAGTGATTGCAAAAGAATTAATAAAATAAAA